ACATATTATTAAAATTTGGGCTATAACAGTTGTATTGATGTATAGCAACTTGAAATGCTCCCAGAAATGGCACTACAGCATGTAAAAATATAAAGTAAGCTCTGGCGGACTTGGTTCTGTGGTAGGTCTTAAAGGGTTAAAGAGGGAAAAGTTCTTCAGTTGGTCTCATCCACCTGATACATTGTAGGAAAAACACCAATACATGATACCAGATGTAACAGCCTGCTAACTTTTAACAATCCCAACAAAATATAAACATTAACAGTGATGACTGACCTCAGAAAGTCAAATCAGGGACCTCAGTCATCCAGATGGTTGCCATGATGACCAAGTCATGGAGTCAGAAACCACTGAAGCAGAAGGCGGTCAGGATTCAGATTGAAGCTCCTGCAGCATAGACACATGTGAATGTGAAGTGTTTGATGCTTTTCAGGGTGAAGTACAAACAGGACCTGATGCTGTGAAAACTACACCAATGAAACACACCTGGTCATCCACACAATCCTCAGCCTCCATCACATATACAGCTGGTGATGAAGATGAGCAGCATCATCACGTCACCTGCAGAAAGGGAGAGCGGGAGCACAGACATGTGAACAAGCTTAGAGCCGACCTCAGCTTAAAACAACACATAAACACATAAAACGAGCCGTGAGAACAACAGACCAGCTTTGACTGCATGTCTTTGATTGAAGCGGTAAGTGCATACAAGCTCCACAGATATCAGTGTTAGCATGCTTGTTTTCATCTGCCTGAAGGGGGGAAAATTGTGTTATAGTCACTGAAATCTGTCGTAAGAAGTACAATATCTGTACAATGTTGTTGTCCAATATCTACAGTGTGTGGGACAGACCAACACATGAAACTAATTAGAGTTTCATGTAATAGATAAATATTATTATTATAATATCATTAAAAAAAACTTTCAAAGTTGATTAAAAAAAAAAAAAACAAGTTTGGATGAACATTAAAGGCTCAGATCATTATGCAGGCAGCTGGCTGGTCAAACCCACCCAGCAAACATGGGATTTGTCCATGCATAACTGGTTTATCTGCTATTTGCCAGACTGCTGCTGATTAGCCTGCTCCACTCTCTGTGTGAGGATGTGTGTGTCACATGACAGGAAAAAAAAAAAAAAAAAAAACGTGCCACACACTTCTGGACAGCTCCTTCAACCTGCTCAACAGTGTTTGCGTGACCCAGCATTTGAACTCTTTCACCTCATTAGCTGTCCCCGTGCCTCCTCTCGCTCTCTGATCTCCACTTCCACTTTCTTGAAAATAAAACGGGGGACAACTTGACTCGGGGGGAAAAAGACATTATTTTGTCAGATGAAAATGTAGAGTGGCTATTATTTCTATCATGGACCAAAAATCTGTTCTATGCTAATTATGTTGCAAACCGATCCCCACCACAGACTCAAACACAGCAAAACTCGTTCCCACCTACACAAGAATCACTTCAAAGAGTATGGAGAGAGTTTATGGATGAAACGCAAAAAAAAAAAGTTGTCAAGTTTCATGTATCGGTCAAAACACTCAACTCCAGGTACACGACGGCCAGCTGAAAACACGTCATGCACGTCGAGTTTGGATGAGTTTTATTTTAGTCATATCGCACAGCCCTAAGCTGGAGCTCAGCGGACTTATTCAGTGGAGGAGTGACACTAAATCAAAGTAAATGTGAAAGAGGAGGACTTCAAACACTGAAAGCCACTTTAGTTACACACCTCTGTGTGACTTATTAAATGTCACACAGTAACAGCCTTATCCTGTATAAATCCAAGTAAATTCATACTACACTGGGAAGGTTTCTTGGAGTCATTCCTAAAAAACTGCATATCCAAAGATCATCAGTTCAAACAACTGTACAACAAAGGCTCAACCTCACTATATACTTTATAAAGATCCTTATAAAGATGCCACACCCTAAAGGAAAAAAGGACACGGGAGGTGGCGTGGTTCATGGTTTGTATCGCTAAAACTCTAGTTACACTTGCCTTTTGTGGTGTCGGGGTCAGACAAAAAGATGTAACTGGAAGTAATTTAAACACGTTTCTACTGTCAGAAAGCGTGTGGCAGAAAAGAAGCCAGCAGACTGTTTAGAAATGCCGACGAGGCCCGTGTATGCTAAGCTTGTTAGCCTTGCTAATATGCGGGACAATAGTCCTTCTAGTCTGGTCAAAGTAGCACAGTTAGCACGTGTCTCATTAGCTCAAAATTATCTTAACGGTTATAATAACCAAGTGGATGAGCCAAAAAAAACCTCAACATTTCCTGGATATATCTCACAAACCCTGAAGGTTTCAGTCAGCGCGAGCAAAGCTAACGACCGACGAAAATGGCTGATAGCTCAGAAAGCTCACCTAGAGTCTGAAGACCTCTCAAATCCCAAACTGTAGGTGAGAAACTGACCAGG